CCTCGTGCCGTCGGCCGCCCGCCGGGCCTTGCGTCTGGCCGAGGCTGGACGGGAGGCCTGCGCGCCGGCGTCCGTGCCGCCGCTCCTCGCACGCTTCGCCCTCCACCGCAGGCTTCCTGGCCGCCTCCGGGCCCTCACGCCGGGAAGCAGTTTCTCAGCGAGTGCTCACTGAAGTGTTCGTGTGCTGGGCGTTCGTTGTGTTGTCTGGAGGTGGAGCGGAGATACAGGCTGGAGTACTACAGACAGTTCTCTCTCTTTTTGTTTTGTCTTTGTGAGACAGGGCTCACTATGCAGTTCAGGCTGACCTTGAGCTCACTTTGTAGCCCAGGCTGGTCTCGAACTCACAGGATTCTCCTGCCTCGGCCTCCCGAGTGCCCGGATTACAGCCGTGCACCACCTGGCCAGTGCTCTTAATTGCTGGATAAATAAGGATGCCTGGAGGGGTGTCAGTGCTTGCCTAGAAATCATGTTTTACTCTAAGGTTCGGTGAAGTGGGTTAGAAAAAGAAGTGTGGCGGCTCACGCCTGTAATCCCAGCACTCAGGAGGCTGAGACAGGAAGATCACAGGGAGTTAGAGCCAGTTCAAAGACAGCCTGAACTGCACAGCAAGATTCTCAGAAAACAAACAGCGAGTGGGGCAGTATACACGTGTAATCCCAAAATTTAAGAAGCTGAAGCAGGAGGATCACCACAAGTTGGAGACTAGTTCGGGTTACACTGTGAGTTGAATGTAAGGGAGGCTGAGACAGGAGGATTGTTGCGTTTTCGAGACCATCCTGGGCTACAAAGTGAGCTCAAGGCCAGCCTGAAGTAAGCTGTCCACCCCTCCAGGCATCCTTATTTATCCAGCATAGTAAGACCCTGTCTCAAAAACACAGACAAATAAGTAAATAAATAAGTACCTGGAATAAAAATAGGGATTTTTTTTTTTTTTTTTTTCTTTTTGAGACAGGATTTCACTCTGTATCCCAGGCAGGCCTGGGATTACAAGCATGCACCACCCTGCTAGCCAAAAAGGGAGTTTTGAAGGTGGGCTCTGTTTAAATGTTGGTGAGAGGTTTGGAAGTGTATGGGTGTGGGCCACAGAGTAAGAGAGTCCATGGCTCCTTGGCCCCTAGCCGTAAACCGGCCTGTTGCTCCATTGTCAGAAGAGGAAAGCAGGGCAGGACAGGTGCAAATGCGGGAAGATCTGCTGTTCGGCGCTACAGTTGGAGACGTTCATTGATGGTTCATGTTCTCCCTGTGAATCAGGAGGAAGCATTGTGGAGGATGTGCTGTGTAGGGTTGAAAAGATGAGAGAAAGCTTGGAGTTATCTCAGAACTACTTGGCAGCTAGGCTAGAAGCAGGAGTTTATTATCATTTGCCTAAGTTTTGTTATGCTCCAGTGGGCTGCAAGCCACTGCTCTGTTGGAAAACTCACCTCCAGGGGATCATAAACCCACCATCTGTAAAGAATTAAGCCGAGCTTAAACTAAGAGAGGATGGTTTATTTGCAGGTGGAGATGGCTGGGAAGAGAGCCTATAGATCGCTGTTAGAGAAGTAGGAAGCACTCAGAAGAAACAGTCCAGGGCTTTTTTCCCAGCTCCTCTCCTTGGGTTTCTTCTTTCTGTGTGGACTGCTGGAATTCGGCCCGTGGCTGTCATTAGCGCTCTTTTTGGATTTCTTCTGGTTGTATGCAGTTATGTGACTTCCTGTTGCTTGCTGGACACTAGGATTATGGCGGGCGGGGGCGTTATAGACAAGTAGCTTGGGTTTAAGTATCAAGTAAGGGGGTTTAGGTTGATCATGCTGCTTGGGACCTCCCTGGTCTTAGTTTCTTTGCCTTTGTCTTTCTGATTGCTCCAGGCAGGGGCTACTGCCCGGAGTAAATCTTTACATTAACCTCTAACAAAGTGCGATGGGGCCTTCATCCTATCTTTTTCCTACTACAGGGCCCCTGTTCCTACGTCTCCCCCTTTGAGACAACCATCCAACATCTTTTGGTGAAGTGGGCAGCGGCCCATGTGGCTTCTTCAAGCTGAAGGGTAATATTTGGGGAGCAGGGGATGGAAATGTTCAGCAGGGAAGTTCATCTGATGGGCCTTGGCAAAAGTCCAGCTGATGGAGACCACTATGTAACAGCTCTGAGCAGGATTTAATATATTTTTTAAATTTTAAAAATAAAAGGAAAACATTAACAGACAGACAACATTTTACAGAATAGCAAAAGAACAGTACAGACAGTATGGAGTTACAAACAGAGTGGTAGGGAATTAACAATGCTTGTTGTATTACATATTGATATCTTCAAAGTGGTTTCTCATGAAGACAGATATAGACATGCAATGCTGATCAACCAAGGACTCATTGACAGCTTCTTTTCAGCAAAGAAATAGAAGACAGTAGAACAGCTATGTTAACTCTGAGCAGGATTTAATATTAACCAGTTGGCTTTCCATGTTTACTTGTGAGTCACTGGTCCCTACTGAGGCTTCAAAGGACAAGACAAGGCCACAGCTGAGGACTTTGAGTTCCAACTCCAATTAACTAAAAAGAGACCATAGAGGCAGGTATCTCACCTGCAGTGAAGGTCTACCTGGAGATAATACAGTTCTCCTAAATTAACATAATGTATTACCTGGAGAATTCCTGAAGGGTTCCCCAAGTCCTGCCCAGATTCCTGCATTTTCTTCAGTATCCCTCTCCTTTATTTGAAAACCTAATAAATATGGGCTGCTCAGGGAAGTCAGCGTCTTAACTCAGTCTTAACTTAGAGCATCTTAACCCAGAGAATCTTCAATTTAAAAATAGAGGGGCTGGGGATTTAGCTCAGCAGCAAAAGCGCCTGCCTGGCAAGCACAAGGTCATGAGTTCGGTTCCCGGTACCGGAGAAAAACGAAAAAAATAAAAATAAAAATAGAATTGGGGGGCTGGGGATTTAGGTCAGCGGCACAGCGCCTGCCTGGCAAGTGTAAGGTCATGAGTTTGATTCCCAGTACTGGAAAAAAATAAAATAAAATAAAATAAAATAAAATAAAATAAAAATAGAATTGGACCTTCCCGGAGCCCTAAAATCATTTCAGTTGTCTCATTTATTTCAGCATTTGCCATCCACACGTTTGGGAGACTGCAGGCCTGATCAGCCCACAGTAACTACGGGTCATAACCCGGTATCTGGCAGCATTACAGTGAGTTTCATCTGTATGATCACTCATAGTTTAGCAGCCACTAGGTAAGAATAAACACACTTTACCAAAAGATTAACGTATATGACCAGAGCGTGAGCGGTACAGTGGAAGCGCAGATTGGAGAAGGAGCTGAGTCAACACTATTTAAAGGGTTGAAATAGCAATTTTAGCCAGTTGGCCCTTAAAACTGTCAGCCGGGGTCGGTGACTGGCCCGCCCCCATGTCTGTCGTGTATTGTTGCTTATACATCTCTCTCTGGCTGTGTCCTTCTATTGCTGGGTGTTTACAACCAAGTCAAGGCTAGACCTTCGTCAATCAAAACTTATCTCCTAATGAGATATCTCAAGATCACTTAAATGTCCGCAGGCATTACTTTTAGAGCCTTGGTCAGAGCCTCTGAGATGTATCAGTTCTTCATCTGTCACATGTGTCATCTGCCAGGATGGGTTATGGTCTGTGCTAGACTGCATAGCTCTTTCTGGAAGCATGGGAACATTTTACCCTTTGGTGATCCTCCTTTCAGCATGATGTTCACTGCTTCAGTCCTGTCCTCCGGGGTCCAACAATCTCCTTGCTCAGGAAGTTGGGGGATTCACCAAAGTTGTAGGCTCTTGTAGAAAGGTCCTCTGGTGTCTTGGGTCCTTGTTGACTTTGGAAGGCAAGGGCTGAAATACTAGCTTTCCTCTTAGCCCAATTACATTTTTTAGTTTTGCGCTTCCAAACCTCAATTGTAGAACACCCAGCAAGACAAGGTCAGTTACGTTGTTGGTACAGTGGAAGCAGTTAATTCTATGATTTTACCTAGATATCCAGCCTACGATATTTTCCCCTCTGAAGAGGTGCCCCTAGCTGTTTGAAGGGTTAAGGGGGATGGCCCCTCTGGCTACTTTTGATCAGAGTTGTGGTCAGAAATACTCTGTAGAGGGTCTGTCTAGAGGCCTTCAGTAGACAAGGCTTTTCATCTTGGGTTGGCATAGAGCTTCAAGTCTGGAAGAGACAAAACAAAAGAACCAGTCAAGTATGCATGAGCCAAACAATAAGATCACTGTTGTAGTCAGGGTTTTCCAGGGAAACAGTTTAACACAGGACACATAATTTACAGGGTTATTTTATGACAGTCACCCAAACAGCCATACACAAAAGAGTACAGGAAATCTGTCCACACACTAAAGACCCAAAGAACCCAGCTGAGGGCCTAGATTCCACAGCAACGTCCTGCATGAGTCCAGCTGAAGACCTAGAGCCCATGACAATGCCCCCAACAAGTCCAATTGGAGGCCTAGAGCCCACAACAATGTCTCATGCAAGTCTGATTCAAAGATCTGCACTGGGAAGTCCCCAAGGTCAGTGGTGGAAGCTAGAAAGTCTATGCCAGCAGGATGAAGGATCTGTGCCAGCAGGCTGAGGTATCTGCACCAGAGCCAGGAAGCAACGCTCAAAATAAGAACCAGAGAGCCCCCGAAAAGTACCTCAGCCATCCTCAGCAACAGCGAGGTCTCCAGCTCCTCCTCCAATGATGATGACGCTGACGATGACAACAGCAACAGCTGAGTTCCTATCAGGAAAACCACCCTGACAAGCTTCTCCAGGAGACTGAACAGTGCACAATCTTCCCTTCTGGAGCCAGGAAGCAATGCTCAGAGTAAGGACCAGAGCTCCCCCAAAGGGAACCATAGCCATTCTCAGCAACAACAAGGTCCCGAGCTCCTCTGACGATAATAGCCGAGCGCATATCAGGAAAGCCAGCAGGACAAGCTCCTCCAGGAGAACCAACACCTGTCGTCTTCTCCAGTTCTCCTTCTTATGCTGCTGGCAACAACCCACAGGTGGGCTTCCATACCCAGCGCCATGCTGATTCAGTTCAGCTGCCTGTTACAAGTGGACCAGCAGTTGTCAATCCACCACAATCACCAAGATTATTATTAATAGGGCCAACAGTTGCTTCCATCAGGAGGAACAAGTGATGGCCTTGCACAAGGAGAGTAAGGAACCCTGGGGCTCAGGGAGCTTCAGAATCTGTCATGGCATTCATCTGCCGTCTGACACCTTGAACAGCCACTGAGATGTTAGCAGGTTGATGGGGAATGTACACACAGCGTTCAGCTTTTACAGTTGCACAGGTCCCTCACTGTGCTGCTCTTAGGGCATCTAAGCCCACCCAGTTCTGGTTCTAGAAGACAGCTTACCTCATTAATTTGACTTCTTCATTTAGAAGGAATCCCAGTTGAGGTCTCATTTAAGGCTCATTTAGTATAGTTGGTCAAGGCCTCAATGTGTTGCATGACATCCTCTAATCCTAGAGCAGAGATAAAAATACCAGCCAAATGATTGTACCAGCAAAACACTCTTAGACCGTCAGCATCACAGATGAGGTAAGTTTGCGGGTTGATCACTGTATTTGATACTCCTGCCTTGTAGCCATACAAATCCCAGTGTGCATCTCCCTATCCACCCAGAGGGTAGCCAGGGCCACAAATTGCTTACACAGGACCAATAAGTGTTGCTGGGGACTGCCCATCTAATTCCAGGGCAATTAAACCAGTCTGTTGCAAACCAGTCTTTGGCCTGTAAAGTTATAATGTGTATGCATTGCTCAGAAGATCTCCACCCCAAGCATTTAGTAGAACTATGCCAATGAGATCAGGAATAATTTCTCTGGTCCCAACACAAGGGGCCTTTTCTATGGGAGTTAACCACATATACCATCCTATATCTGGAAGTAGCCATCTTGATATCTATGACTGTTGGCTCTCATGTTAGGTCTTTATTCTTATTCAGTAGGGGATTTACCAAAGCCCATAAAGGTTTCAGTGGCATCTTTAGCAAAAATCCAATTACATCCAGGATCGTTAAGAGTGGAGTTTATAAACCACTAAGTTACCTTGTAACAGTGCACTAAGCCATGAACTGCTGACCCTTTCAGTGTCTCGTCAATGTATCTTGTAACTTATTCCAATCATCTCCTTGAAACGGGGATACCCAGCAAGGGACTTCTGAGGTACTCATGAGGGGAGCTGGCCTCCTACCCAGCAAGGTTTTTGTTGTAATGACTCTGCCCATACTAGGAAAGAATTGCACTCCCCTTTAAGTGGTGTAAAAGTAATCAGAGTGTTTAGAGTAACAGCTTAGATTACTTACCTTGGTTTTGTCTTTTGAACAGGAACTTTAATCCTCCATAGGTTCACAAGTGGAGGTGGGCTCGGATGTGGCCTTGGGATGCCACGGAGGTGTGTTGCCGTGGTTCTCAGAGGCAGTCCAGAGCTTTACTCTGGATGAGGAATCCAAGAGTCGAGTCCTGTGACTGTAACTGCAGTGGGGGTGGGAAGGATCACTGTGTAGGGACTGCCCATCAGGGTTTGGTTAGGCTTTGTGTGTGTAGAGCTTTGACCAGTGCTAGGCTCCCTGGGCAGAAGAGGGGCTTGCTAGATGGAGTTGGCCCAGGTTCCATGCGCCTTAAAACCGACAGGTTCTGTTGGAACTGGGCCAAGGACCTCACTTGTCTTAAAGCTCCCTCAGTTTCGGCACCAAGTGAGCAGGCGGTGCGCAGGATGCTGGCACTGTGGTTTGGGCCTGTGTTTTGCTTGCGCCCCAACCTCTGGGAGGTCGCGGGCACCGCAGTCTGTGATTGCTGGTGGAGCGGCCCACGTCTGGCTCCTGTGCACGTCCTGAACTGACTGGAGACACAGAATGCGGCAGGCTGAGGCCTGCTGACACCACGGTTCCCGGCTGAAAGCTCCCATCTATTTCCTGGGGGCAGTGCAGGCATCCCAGGAACTCGCTGCCATTGCAGTCTGAGTCTCTGCCCTCCGTGAGCCCGAGCCAGACCGGAGCTTCTCACTCAGAAGGCCAGTGAACTGCTCTCACCAGGGTTCGCATGTGGGCCCTCCCTGCGCATGCCCTGCGCCAGGTGAATGGGTGGTCCACGAGCTGCTGACACCACAATTCCAGTCTCTGCTTTGCTTGTGCCCCAACCTCCTGGAGGTCAGAGACACGGACAGTCTGTGATTCCTGTCAGAGCGGCCTGCGGCTGGCTTCTGTGTGCATCCTCAACTGACTGGAGACGCAGAATCAGGTGGTCCACACACTGCTGACCCTGCAGCTTGTGTCTGGGCTTTGCCTGTAGCCTGAACTTCTGGGGGACACAGGTCCACTGGACTGGGGCTGTGCCACCAGTGCAACCCGAGTCTGGGTCATACACGTGCCCTCAACTGCCAGGGGATGCTGGATCAGAAGGTCTGCCATCAGCTGACATCACGGTCAATGTCTGAGACCTGGGAGAACTAGATACACTTCACCAGCTGCCGGAAAACCCAGACTAAGCAGTGCATCTCAGCAGACACTGAGGGGCAAGCCCGACCACCAGGAAAACTGGGGACACTAGCGGCTTTGCTGAGCTTCCAGGGAAGAGAGAGACTGCACTTCCTGCATTCGGTATCAAACATGATAAGATGAAGGACTAAAGCACAATCTCAGAACTCTACCCAACTCAGAACAAGTCCAGGAGACATCGACATAGGAGAACTTGGTAAACACACACCTGAAATTGCTGAAATGATTGCAATGGAAGTAAAGAAACAACTGCATAAGGCCATAGAAGAGATCAGATTAGAAATAATCTCAGCAAAAAATGAAACAATAATAATGAAAGAACTGCTCAGCACATCTGAAGAAGAAACATATAAGAAAATAGAAGAACATAGGCAATGCATGGAAATGTTAGTTGAAAAATACAGAAATGACTTAGAATGCATGAAACAGATTCAGAGAGACATCCAGGAAAACAAAGCTTCTGTTGAAAGCTCCCAAAACTGTTTGAACAAAGCAGAAGATAGAATTTCAGATTTTGAAGACCGCATGGCAGCTAGCAATTGTGAAAGAAAGGATCTCTTAAAATTAACAAGGAACCAGGAAAAATCAATTCAACAGCTGTAAAACGAGGCAAAGAGGAATAATGTACAACTTATAGGAGTCAATGAAACAGCAGGAGGCAACACAAATGATATGAAAAGAATATTTGCAGAAATACTAGCAGAAAATTTCCTAAGCATGGAAACAGAACTTGATATACAGGTAAATGAGGCATATAGAACTCCCATTAACCACAACAAAAATAAAACTGCACCCAGACTTATAATAGTTAAGTTCCCACACCTCCAGCAAAAGAATAGAGTATTAAAAGCTGCTAGAGAAAAGAAACATTACCTATAAAGGGAAGCCCATCAGAATCACAGCAGACTTCCCAACACAAACCATCCAATCAAGAAGAGCTTGGAGTGAAGTATTACAGGTCTTGAGACAAAACAGCTTCGAACCAAGACTGATGTACCCTGCCAAGCTATCACTCAAGTTCAATGGAGAAATAAAATATTTCCATGACACAGAACAATTGAAGAACTTCATGTGTGCCAAAACATCATTGCAAAGAGTACTAAAAGATATTCTAGACAGAGAAAAATGTGACCACAATTTCTTTTTTTGTTTAATTTTTTTTTATTTTAAAGAGTAAAAGAAGGATAACATAATAATAGGGGGGGCTTAC